GTGTGTAAGTGTGAGCATGTGTGCATGCATGTGTGAGCAGTGAGTGTGCACATGAGTATGAACATACGTGCCACCACATGTGAGCATGTGTGCATGCATGTAAGCATTAGGAATGTGTGGGTGTGTGCATGTGTGCGAGCATGTGTGAGTGTGAGCAAGTGTGAGTGTGTGAGGTGTGTGCATGTGAGTGTGCGAGCATGTGAGTGTGAGCATGCATGAGTGTGTGTGATCATGTGTGAGTGTGCATGAGTGGCTGTGAGCGTGAGAGTGGGTGTGTGAGTGTAAATGAGTGTGTGAATATGTGTGAGTGTGTGGGGTGTGTGCATGTGTGAGTGTGCATTAGGGTGTGAGCATGTGTGAGTGTGTGGGGTGTGTGAGCATGCATGAGCATGTTTGAGTGTGAGCATGTGTGAGGGTGTGGAGTTTGCATGTGTGAGTGTGCATGAGCATGTGTGAGCGTGAGTATTCCTGAGTGTGAGGGTGTGAGCATGTGTGAGTATGCATGAGTGTGTGGGGTGTGTGTGTGAGTGTGAGCATGTGTGAGAATGCATGCATGTGTGAGTGCTCTTATGTAAGCGTGTGAGTGCATATGCCCCACATAACTGTCTGGTGCCTCCCTGTGTTGCTGCTGGTCTGGTGCGTCCTGTCCTCCCACAGGCAGCCCCAGCATGGGCTTGGCATGTTTTGCTGCTCACAGGGAACCTCCACCCCCTCCCCTGCTTCAGGGAGGCACATGCACCCCTTGCCCTGCTCCCTACCCTGCATGGCAGAACTCCCTGCACCTGGCTTGGGGGCCAGCCTGGGCACCCAACTCAGTTCCGAAACTGCAGAGACTTTCATGTCCTCCCGGAGCCCCTTTGAAGATGAAAAGCTCTGGGAAGAGAAGAGGCTGTTGTTATAATTAATGTAATTAACAGCAATTTTTCTGGGTGCTCTGTAGATGCGCGGGCCAGGCACCTGGTGAGGAATGCCCCTCGCTCTCCTGGGAGATGCCAGGCTGGCCTCTCCAAACCCAACCTAGGGCCTCTCCCTGCCAGCCCTGCCCTGCTCCGGAGACCGGTATCTTGCCTTCCCAGGAGATATTCACCAAGACAGGCCCCTGCTCACCAGGCAGGGTGAGTACCCCTCTGAAGACACATCTGCGCCCACTTTGCTGGCTTGAAACCTGGGTAATGGAGAAGCCAGTGCTACCATGTCCACTGTAGCTCTGCCCAGAGAGAAGGGCGCTGCTGCTGCTCAGGCCCCAACACAAAGGCCTGACTCAGAGGCAAACTCTTCCCTGATCCCAGAATTGGAACACCCCACATGTTGGGAACCAGGCAGCTCGCGATCCCCAGACCTGTTATCTCTGATAGGTCTGGGTTCAGCCTCCGCTTACCTGGCCATCACCGTCCAGCCCCAGAGAGTCTGCCCAGCTGATCGCATGGGTCGCACTGAGTCATCTGTTCTGGACAGAGGCCAAAGCCACAGGGACCTGGCCCCCCTGGGCTCCCGGTCCCCCATGGCTGACCCCACTCCAGGCGGTTACGTGCTGCTCAAAACTACAGAAAAACCCAAAGTTGCCAGTGCAGGCAGGTCAAGGCCTCTGCCCAGTGGAGCCAAAGCTTAGAGCTTCAGACTCTGCCGCGGACCAGCGCAGCGGTAGACTAGCAAGGCCGACTCAGGCAGCAGTGGCACAGCTCCTGTGCCAGCCACTGTCCTGTGACCCCAGCTTCCGGGGCAGTCCCTGGGGAGACGCGCCCTGGCCCTGAGCCCATGCTGCAGTGGCCTGCTTGCACATGCATCCGCACACACACATGCATACACACACCAACACCACATGCATGTGTGCACCTGCACACGTGCACATACACACGCACACCCAGCACACGCAGGCATGCTTGTACTTGTGCATTATTCATTCACACAGACACACAAGACAATGCAGCACACGTGTGCATGTGCACTGCATCCACACACATGCACATACGTGTGCATCCCTCACACACACACACACACCTGCTCACATAACACATGCACGTGTGCACACCCCCAGATGCCCACAGTCTGTGTCCCCCAGGGCAGGACCCGGTGCCAAGGCAGAGCCATTGGGCAGGGAAGCAGCAGGGGCCTGAGGCTCAGTGACAGCTGTGATGCACGAGGGGGCCCCCACCCCCAACCCAGAGCCCAGTGACAGATGTAGTGATGAGGCCGCCAGCATGATCTCACCACAAGACCTGGTGTTTGGCCAGTGCCCAGGCCGAGGCTTCCTTCTGCCCTGCCCCTGAGCCCACAGTCACAAACTGCTAGAGGCCAAGAGACTTCTCAGCTGCAGATATCTGCTCCTTGGAGAGCCAAAAGCAGCACCTCCAAGATGCGGCACCAGGCGGTCGTGTCTGGTGGTGAAGCCACTGCCTGCATCCTCCCAGGCGGAAGGTGGAGCGGCTGCCCAGGGTCCCTTCATCAGGACGTGAATCCCTACCCTGGCTGGTCCTGCTGCGCATCGGGGCGGGGCTCGGCTTGTGGTTCTGAGTCTCTGGGCCGGGGCCCGGGTTCCCGTGTCAAGAGAGACTCGGACCCCAGGCTGAAGGTCACCGTCACGGACTCCTCCCCAGATACACCTGCCATCCTGGAAAACAGCCCCGAGTATCTTTCCTGAGAGAAAATGCAAGTGTTTCCTCATTTAATTCCAGAACACACATTCCTGACTTTCTTTTCCTTTCGTGAATTCTCAAGGTCTCTTGTCGTGCCCTGTGCACACCGCCTGTGTCCAGATGGTCAGTCAGGATGTGGGGGAAGCCACGGCCCCAGCCCCAGGCCCCCACCGATCCCCCACATCTTACCCGTACACATCCCACCCCCTCCTCCTCATGACCCTCACGAGCCCTTCACACTCGTGCTCACGCTCACACTGACTGCACCTACGCATGCCTGCTCCCCCCCCCCAACTGCCTGTCCACGGGGACACAGGTGGACCCTCGAGCACCCAGTGCGAATCATGTCTCTGAGGCCCCAGAGCTAAGGGGGAGCAAGACCTTTGAGTGGGCCCTTGGGACCCGTGCCCCGCCCAGGGACACCTCGAATCCTCTACAGCCTCAAACTGGGAAGAGCTGTCACAGAGACTTAAGAGACAGGTTTCTAGGAATGCTTGGGAGTGGGAGGAAGCATCTGGCACAAACACGGACAAGCCTCTGAGGTGGTAGCCAGTGCTGCCAGCAGACCGTGTCTGAGGCGGCACTGGAAAGGAGGCGCAGGGGCCACCCCCACACCGGACATCACGGGACCACAAGGCCAGGCCTGACCACATAGGGCGGCTGCTTGGAATCCTCAAAGGCCTCCCCACCTGCCATCCGTTCTGCCCTGCCCAGGCCTGCTGCAGACTGGCTTTGCCCCCGCCGCCACCTCTCGCCCACCCACCTTGGCAGCAAGCACCCCACCCTCTCGGCTGGGCGCAGCCATTCCTGCGGCTGCATTTTCTCTCCCTACTTGCTCACCAGGGAGCCCTGAGTGGGCATCCTGGCAGCTCCTGGGTCTCCCACCCGTGCTCTGGACATTCTCGAGCACAGCATTCAGCCCGTGGAATCGGTCATTGCTGTCTTCCCGGCCAGACAGCAGGGCCTCCAAGGGTCTGAGCTGCCAAGACCTTGGTGCCTTGGCATGCCTCCAGCGCATGCTGCCCAGGGCATACAAAAGCAGCCAAGCTAAGCCTGCTGGGCCTTTGCCAGAAACAAGGACAGTCGTGTGCAGTTACACCAACTGTCCACCAGAGGGAGCGGCCCTATGTCCTCTGCATGTGGGGCTCTTGATTAATCAGATCAAAAATTTCACTTTTAGGCTAAACCTAATATCCTGTAAACCCCAGGATACATTTTTGAAGGTCACCACAGGTTTGGGTTTGACAGTGGGTGCTCCTTAGGGTACAGTAAACAGGACTGGAATAGCATATAATAACAGTTTGCATTTCCGTGTTGGTGGTGATGGTGGCGGTCAGAGCACGTGTCCCAGTGACGGTTTTTCTTCTCTCAGACATGATCTTGTTTTCTAAAATATTCTCCACCTACAAAACTTATGGCTCCAAACACAATAAGTGCTGTGGAATCAGATGACTACCCAGCTGCGAATACCCTGTCATCTTATACCCCTCTCATCTTGTCTGGAACACACACACACACACACACACACACACACACACACTTCCGACGTAAGCTGAAGCAATTCAAACAACATAAGATCAAGAGTCTATGTCGATTTTGAGTTCAAGGCCAATGTTTGAGGAACATGGCTGATAGACACACAATAGCAGTGGATTTTACCTCCCACCACCATCAGTACCACCATCCAGCACCACCAGCACCACCACCATCATCACCACCACCACCACCACCAAACAGGGGCCCTTGTGCTGCCCTAGCACCTGGCCTCTATCACAGTTACCTGCACACTCATTGGGCCCTGACAACACCACCATTTTGAAGTGGCCACCTGCATCTTCTTCCTAGCCTTAGCTGCTAGCACACACCTGGTTTTCTGTACATATTTTTTTACTTTGGTTGCACTGACCAGCGACACCAGGCATGGTGGGCTCGGCCCCAGGTTTCTGGACGCTGTGCTGGTGAGGAGGGTCCTGCGGCCCCTGCAGAAGGAGGCCCGTAGGTGGAAGGAGCCCCCTCCAGTGCAAAGAGAGTATCGTGAGAGGACTCCCGTAGGAGGAGCGCCCGGTGGGAGGAGGGCTTTCGTGGGAGGAGGGCTTGGTAAGAGGAGGACCCCGTGGGAGGAGGACTCCCGTGGGAGGAGGGACCCTCCATGGAAGGCCCTCCACCTTCACTTGGGGCACCCTCCGCGAGCCGCCCGCGCAGAGAGCCCCAGCGCCACCAGGGGGCAGGCCGGTGCTACGCCCGCCGCGCAAGCGCACTGCTTTACGACACGGCCCCCTTCCGCCGTAAAGCATCGCCTCGCGCCGTAAAGCTCCACCTCCCGCCGCGCTCCGCCGCCCCCGTCGCACAGCGCAGCCGCCGCGTGGGGCCGCCGGGCCAGGAGTCCTCCGGCCATGGGCAAACGCGCCGGCCGCGGCCAGCTGCTCCGCGCGCTGACTAAGAAGCAGAAGCGGCATCTGCGCGACTTCGGCGAGGAGCATCCCTTCCACGACAGGTGCGACATGCGCCGCCCGGCGGCCCTCGGGTCCGGGTCGGTCTGGCCCACTGGTGACGGTAGGGAGGACCCCGAGGCGCCCCCGCCGCCCGACGGCCGCGCGCTGCGGGCCCGGGACCTCCGCGTGGCCGGGTCTCAGGCCCGCCCGGCCCCGAAGACCGCTCCCGAGGAGCCGGGCGGTGCCCTATGGGCGGGACCCCTGGGGGGGGTGGGTGGGGGAGTTCGCGTGGGTGGTCCCCGGTGAGGCGGGTCCCCGAGTCCTCCATAGGGGGTCCCCGGTGGGCGCCCAGGTGGCCTGTGCCTCCCTGCCGTGCCCGCATGGGAAGCGTGGAAGCAGCCGGCCCGCATCTGGCGCCTGTCCTTGGGCCCTTGGCTGTGCGTGTCCGTGGGCGCGGGTCTCTGCCCGAGCCGCGGGGTCAGGTGCACCCTGGGGCTGCCACAAGCGGAGTTTGATGGCGGCTGTTTCTTCTCAGGGTGTCCGGGAAGGAAGCTAAACCCCAGATTTGCCAGCTGGTAAGGCTCCATCTCTCTTTGCACTCTGGGTTCCTGCCATGCAGCTTGACTGCGTCTCTGCTCTCTTCATTTGAAGCGAAAGGTGTTAGTGACGTTGCTTGGGTTTGGTAGCGGATGTCTCCCTGGAAGCCTGGGTTTGAGACTGGTGATGGTGAGCCTATTGGGGCTCCCTAAGAGGCTTACTGTTTATGGGGAACCCACCCAGAGGGTCTTGTTTGCTCACTATTGAGGCTGCCCAGGAGCTGCTCCCAGTCAACCAAGGCCCTGCGGTCACTGAAGACTCAGCCTGTGTCCCTGGGCCTGGGCACCCCCTGGGGGTCCAGGCCTCTCATCCAGCATGTTCCCGGTGACCCTCAGCCCTGTGTCCAGCTTCTCCCAGGCGGGGCAGTAGCATTCACAGCAGACAAGGGTTTCTGGGGTCACGATGAGACTGACTCGCCTAAATCAGTATGTCTCGGGGCGGCTTGAATAACTGGGATTGCACAGGTGCTGAGAAGCTGTTGTTGTTCACTGGAGACGGTCTGGCATGCTGGCCTGTGGGCCGGGGCCGGTCTGGGGTGGTGGCAAGAGCAGCAGAGCGCGTTTCCCGAGATCCCGTTTCCTCTCAGTCAGAGATTTCGGATGCTTCAAGTTCTGAGAGCGAGGAAGAGAGTGAACCAGAGCAAGTGTCTGGGTATCAGAAACTGCTCGCCACATTGAAGAATGTTTCCAAGGACGAGGAGGAGGATGAGGAGGAGAACGAGGACGACTCTGGTGGAGATGATGCAGAGGTGGACAACACAGAGGGTGGCAGTGAGATCAGCGTGGAGACGGACATGGCCCCCGAGTCCACGGAATCGCAGCCCAGTGAGTGTCTTCCCTTTGGGTTTGCCTCTTTGCCTGCCACAGGCAGGTGGCCCCTGGGACCGCGCTGTCATCTGTGAGCTGCGATAGCTGTGGCTCCACGGTACTTGACTGGCCCACTGGATGTGGCAATATTTTGCATGCCCGTGAGAACAGGCCCCAGCTCAGCAGACAGTCTCGCGTCCAGGGCTCTGCGCCTCCAGGCTCGGAGGAGACCAACGGTTCTGTTTGTGTGACGGTCTCGGTGTGTTGAAGAGATGGCGACTCATCCCTGGAGAATCCAAGTTTAACGGGAGATGGGCGTAAAGCTGACAAAGTTTCTCAAGCGGTAGCGGGCATGGGCGCAGGAGCTGGCTGGCCTGCTCATGGGCAAGCCTGCTCCACGGCTTGGTCACTCGGCCCCAGGCCACGTCTTCCTCTGGGCGAGCGGGTCTGCTGGTCAGACTGGGTGTCAGGATTCATGTCTTACCTTGAGTTTGCCCGAAAGTAAACAGGCACAGCAGTGTTGACGTCAGCTGAGGAACTGGTTGTGTCAACAGGAGTGTGGTCATGTTGTTGAATGGATACCTGCTCACACCTAAAATTTCTTGAATTGTAGATGTGGCCTTATTCTCTGACCCTGAGGGGAAAATTGGGACTGGCCCTTCTGGAACCTCGCAAGACTCCCCTGAGGAGTTTACAGATGCAAAGCACGAGTCTCTCTTCAGCCTGGAAACCAACTTTCTCAAGCAGAGTGGAGGCCGCTGTGGTCCTCAGGTATCTGCAGGTGGGTGCAGCACTGGACCCTGGGGTGGAGTTGTGCAGTGCTTGTCTTAGGAGCCACTGTGGAAATGGGGGGTGCGGTTAGCAGCTGGATCTTGAGCTGGGGAGCTGATTCTTAAGGCCCGTGTTTTCAGTGGCTGGGCTGTTGGGAGAAAGGGTGGGGGGCATTAGCCCCCAGCCACATTATTTCTATATTTGGGGCCTTGGGAAGAGCTAGTTTTTCTCCCCGAGCCAGGAAGAATGAGAAATAGGAGAAGAAAAATATTTTGTGCTTTTTTCTCTACCCACATCTTGTTCTTCTCTATGGAGCAGGAGTTTTCCAGATTTGTGAGACCCAGGAGGGCCTACTCTGATTGGTCCAAAGAGCCCTGCAGTGGCCAGGCAGCTGTCCTCACAGACTTCCCAGCCTCCCCCAGCCGCTTGGCCTCCCCTGTCCATCTGACCGCAGTCACGGGGCCTCAGACTACCCTGGCTGTGAGGTCTAGTCTGAGCTGGCCTGCGAGGGCCGCGTCTCGGTCCCCCGTCCTGACTGCTGTCCTCGGTCTGGTTGGGGCAGCCTCACCGCTCAGCGGGCTGTGGTGAGGAGGGGGGAGAAGCAGCAGTTAGAAGTGGGCATGAGACCCATCTCGAATTGGCAAAACTTAAAGTCCTGGAGGAACCTTCTAGAGCTTGCCTGTCCTAAAATTTTTTGTGCTGTCTTGCCATTGGGGAGATGTGAGCACCAGGAATCCTTGAGTCCTGTTACCAACTCTTACCCCATGTCTCTGGGGCAGGTGCATGCGTCCAGCCTGCAGTGGGGCCTGGCTTCCCACGGACAGCCAGTGGGCTGCAGAGCTCTGAGCCCGAGCACTGAGCCTTTCCATGCCTGCACACAGGCTGAGGCGGGGGACCCTGCCTTGGGAGACCCTGATTCCTGTCGGCCTGTGTAGTGAGTTGTGACAAGAGTGGTGATTACTTGGGGGCCCAGGATAAGGGGGAGGCTTTGAGCTGACACTATTTGAATAAACAAAAATGCAGTGAAAGACACGGAATTTTTGACAGAAGGAAGGAAAGCCACAGAGACAAGCAGATTCCAGGACTTTGTAGTTCGCAAATTACTTTGGAGTTGGGGGTGTCCCATAGCCTCTTGAATCTCAGACTCAGTGGTTTCTTCAGAGGTTCGAGCTGGAAAGCAAGGTATCAGAGAATGGCTCTGGGGTGTCTGGAGATGGCGCTACACACTGGTCAGCTGTGGCCTGGGGCGCATGTGGGTGCTGACGGGAGGGATAAGCTGGCAGCCTTCAGGGGGCTGTCCGGCAGCCCTGCCTTTGTAGTCGGTGTCCTGACAGCCACTACTTCTGTGTTAGATCCGTTTCTGCAGCACATGAGCCGAGAGCTGAGAGAGAAAGAAGTCCAGGCTGTTGCCACGAACCCCAGAACCACGCAGCAGCTGAAAGTGAGTGTCACGGGGCTGCCCAATCACGGGTGGAGAGGTGCTTGGGAAAGCAGGGCCTGGGGTATGCTGTTTGCCAGGGGAGGAGCTGCTGGGGCCCAGGCCCGCATAGGCGGGGGGCTTGGCTGGTGGGTGCACTCCTTGGGGCTTTGAGGCCGAGGGTTTGGGATTTAGACTGACAGCCATGAGGGGCTATCACAGGACCCCAGGAATGTCAGTCACTGCCCTTGCCTGTGGAGGAGCTGGGCCGTCTGCTTGCCATCAGGCTCTTGCCTCTGACGGCCCAGGAGCTGTGTTAGAAATGTGAGGGTATCCCTGGGCCTCAGAGGAAGGAAACAGTTGGCTCCTCTGCCTCTCACCCCACTGCACCGCTAGTGAGGGGTATCAGTGGAGCCCCTGTGCCCACTGCCCAGCCTGCCATGGTGGGTCACCGCACAGTCTGCAGGGCACCCTGGCCTCCCGGGGAGGAAGTTCTCTACTGTTCTGGCCTGTGTACCCCCCGCCGCCAGGTGGGGTGCAGCGGTGGTAGAAGATGGGGCCCTGGCGGGATCCGACAGCCATTCGTGGGGCAGCGGCACCCTTGACTCACTTGTCTCTCGACCCACCTCTCTCCTAGTGGCCTGTCCTCGGCCAGCTCATCTTCTCGTCCAAGTTTCAGACGTTGGAAACATTCAAACCCCCAAGGGACGTCGACATTGCGTCCCTTCACCTCCAGAAGCCCCTGGATTCAACGTGGCCCAAAACGAACAGCTGCTTCCTCTCCAGCTGCCCTGGGGCCAGCAGCCCCTTCACCCCCCTGCAGAAGGAGCTCTTCCTGCTCATGAACTCATACCGGGACCTGCTCTTCCCGGAGAGGACTGCGACGCGCAACGGGGAGGAGGTGCGCCACGCCTACTGCCTGCATGCGCTCAACCATGTGCTCAAGGCCAACGCCCAGGTGCTGGGCAACAATGGCTGGCTCCGCAGCCAGAAGCTGCACAAGCTCGGGCTGGGTGACGACGGCGACCTCAGGGATCAGGGCCTTACCAGGCCCAAGGTACGTGGCTGCAGAGGGAGGCGCCTGGGATGGCGGGCAGCAGGCAATAGGCCAAGCGTGGGTGGCACCTGCCAAGCATTCTCCAGAAGGTCCGTTACGTCTGCCAATCTGTGCTTCTCTGCCCAGTGGCTCTCAGGCCCCGCATCCACTCTGTGGTTTGTGCCGTGGACGGGACACAGGTCCCTAGAGGCCCTGCTGGAGGAGGGCAGGGAGAGGAGCTGAGGGGTGAGTTGAGTGCATTCCTCTATAGAGCCTGGAGAACAGAAACCTCCCCCCCCCCCCCCCTGAACGGTCACTGATGACTAAAGCAGAGGTTACAGACACTTGGGTCTTTGCTCGCAGATGTCCTTGGGTGGCCTGGGACGAGCTCTCAGGTCAGCCCCCAACCCCACCCGCTCCTTGTGTGTCCACAGTGCAGTGGCTCCCTCTAGACTGTCCTGGCCTCACAGAGACCCCTCAGGCCCAGCCTTGGCGCTGACTCCTCCTGACGGCTGTCACATCCACACCACACAGCCTTCTCTGCATGCCGGCTGGGAACAGGCCGGGCCGCCTGCTCCCGGGAAACGCTGCAGTCAGAGGCCCAGGTTGTCTGTTTCGCTCGGAGTCACAGGACAGAACAGGAGCCAACGACCCCGAGCATGTTGGGGATTTGCTGGGCTGAGAGACGGGGCGGGTGATGTGGGGATTTAGAGATTCATCCTTTGTTGCACACCTCCTGGTTTTGTTCTCAACTTTTAATTTTAAGTGTTTTGGGAAATGCTTGGTAGGTTGAGTCCTGCATGTGCCTCTTGCATCTACATTTGCGGTCCTTGTTGGGAAATGCTATGTTGTTCCTGAAATACGTACTGAAGAACTTGCTGAGGAGGCGACACCAGGCCTCCCCTCCCTCCCCCATGCTGGCTGCACTGGCCTGTGGGATGCGCCTCACAGAACTTGGCGCCTCCGTTGGGTAGAGGCCTTGACTTTTCTGGGCAGTGTCTTCAGTTCCACTGGAGCTCCCCGAGCCCCCGCTCAGAGCCCAGGGCATGAGCAGCTGTGCTGGGCTCGGGTTGCAGCCGGCCTGGGTGGGGCTGCAGACGGGGTGCCCCCGAGGCCCCTGACGAGGGCAATCTGGGCGCCCATGGCTGTGCCCCACAGGTGCTTATTGTGGTGCCCTTCCGGGAAGCGGCCCTACGGGTGGTGCACCTCTTCATCCAGCTGCTGGAGGGCGACAGCAAGAAGATCATTGTGAGCAACAAGAAGCGCTTTCAGAGCGAGTACGGCTCGGACCCCGAGGAGAGGCCCCCCAACCTGAAGAGGCCGGAGGACTATGAGGCTGTGTTTGTGGGCAACATTGACGACCACTTCCGCATCGGTGAGGCAGGGCAGCCAGTGCCAGGGTAAGGGGTGCCTGGAGTGGCCTCCTCGCAGCCCAGCTATGGGCATCTCTGGGACTAGGAGCAGGACACCAGAGTTCGCGGTGGGTGTGGGGAGCCATGTGGTGGTGGCTGGCCATGGTCCCCTGGCTGTTGACATTGCGTGTGTCTCCCCTGTCCACGCGCTGGGTGACTTGTGTGTTGATAGTGTACAGGTCTGAGGAGACATGCAGTCCCCTGTGTGCATACAGTAGGCCCCATCCTTGGAGCACCTGCTGTGTGCTGGCACAGAAGCAGGGGTGCAGGAGGCTGGCCCTGGGCATGGGGAAGCAGGGTGCAGGACACTGGCCCTGGGGTGGCATGGCTGGGGTGCACAGTGGGCTCCTGGGGCATTTGCAGCACGTCTCTGCCCCATGGGGACTGGGAGGCTAGGAAGGCCCCTGTTGGTGTGCCTTCTGGGGTGAGTGGCCACCCGGTAGGGTTAGCTGGTTACAACGAGGGTGGTGAGTGGAGGATGGTGGGACAGGAAACGGCATGAGTGGGTGCGGGGTGCAGGCTGGCCCAGCCTCAACTCTCACCTAGAGGCCGAGCACTGGGGCTGCAGCAGTGGGGCTGGCAGCAGCAGGGCCTCCCTCTCCTGCTCTGTGGCGCCTGAGGGTGGGGATCTGGCCTGTGAAGCTGAGCACAGCTGGGGGGGTCTCCTTCCTGCACCTGTGGTGGCACCTTCAGGTGTGCCCAGGCTTGTGGAAGAGCACCTTGGACCCAGTATGACCACCAAGGGCCCGAGAGCAAGTGGGGATGTGGGCGAGGGATGCATCACCAGAGCGAGCAGTCTCTGGAGGAGTCTGAAGGAAAGGAGAATGTGGGAGCTGTAGGAATAGTGGGTGCTGGGGGCTGGTGGTGATATTAATGGTGAAAGCCGTAAAGTCCGTTGTGCTGGGAGGCAGGCGGCTGACCCAGAGTGCTGGGGAGGTGGGGGACGTGGGGGGTGGGCAGGGTGGGAGCGGGCGGCGGACCGGTGTGCTGGGGAGGTAGGGGACGACGGGGGCGGCAGCTGACCAGCGTGCTGGCTGTGCAGGTGTGGCCGTGCTGCAGAGGAGCCTCCGGCTCTACGCCCCCTTCTACTCCTCGGACATCCTCATCGCCTCCCCCCTGGGCTTGCGGACGATCATTGGTGCAGAGGGGGAGAAGCAGCGGGACTTCGACTTCCTGTCCTCCATTGAGCTGCTGGTCATTGACCAAGTGGACATTTACCTAATGCAGAACTGGGAGCACCTGCTGGTAAGGCCGGAGCGCCTGGGTCCAGTGAGGCTGGGGTCGTGTCCGCTCACAGGTTGTCATGGCCAGAAGGATCCCACGTGGTCTGGAAACGTCCCACTCCCAGCCTGAGAAATGTGCCTGCACCCGGCGTGTGGTGTCTGGGTATCCGGGACGCGCCTTCTGATCAGGGTGCCCAGGACCCTGAAGGGAGGGCGTGGCCCTCTCGGGCCTTCGCCTGCTGGGCTGCAGTGTGCCAGGCGGGTGGGAGTCCTCATGGGAGCCAGGCTGCTGGCATCTGCCCTTGGCTGTGGCCTTGGGCCAGGGGAAGTGCTCTGTGGCAGGTTCTCATGGGGCCCTGTACAGGGAAACGGAGCTGCTCCCTCGCACTGGCGCTGCAGCTTCTCTTGCTGTGTGAGCTGCTCTCGTGTGGAGCGCACTGGGGGAGTCTGGGGCTGGAGTGTGCACGGGTGTTTCTGAGGCCCGTGCACACCCCGCCCACACCACCAGAGCCAGCGGGGTCGGGACAAGGGAAGGGGAGCCCTGTCTGCAGTAAGGGCTGTATGCCCAGCACTCCCTGCCCTTCAGGCCACTCCAGGGATGTGATGAGCACGGGAAGGGGCCAGCAACAGGTATAGCGTCCAAGGCTGGCCAGGAGCTGGCCTGTCCTCCTCTCTCCCTCCTCGCCGGGGTAAGGGCCTCCAGCACCCAGGGGGCCGTCTTCTGGAGGCCCCTTCCAGAGAATGCTTCTGCCCCATGACCTGTCCTCTGGGAGGCCCAGCGGTGGCTGCTTTGGGCTTCTCACTGGGGTGGGGAGGGTGAGGCCACAGCACCTCCATCTGCCCATGCTAGGGAGGCCGCGGGGGGGGTGTGGTGCCCCCAGTGTTCATGCCAGTGTTTCTTCTGCCCAAGCACTTGATGAGCCACATGAACCGGCTGCCCTCAGACCCCCATGGGGTGGACTTCTCCCGTGTGCGTATGTGGAGCCTCAATGGCTGGGCAAGGCACTATCGCCAGACGCTGCTGTTCGGGGCGCTGCAGGACCCCCAGATCAACGCCGTGTTCAACAAGCACTGCGTCAACATGGAGGGCCAGGTGCTGGCCCTCTCCGCCACGGTGGGCAGGCGGGTGGGCAGGTGGGGGCGAGGCCGACGCTCATGTGTGCTCACCCCGTCTCGTCTGTCCCAGGTGGCTATACGGAGCACCCCGATGACCGGCTCCATCAGCCACGTCCTGCTGCAGCTGCCGCACGTCTTCCAGCGCCTGGAGGCTGAGAATCTGGCTTCTGTGATTGATGCCAGGTGACCTCTCTCTTGTCTGTTAGGACTGGGGGCCACGCATCAGGGCAGGCCTAGGGGTGTGGGAGGCACTGATGGAGTGGAGTGCCGCCGGGGCAGCTGTCTTGCCGTGACTGAAGGAGCCGGGAGCCCTGTCCCAGGCGGCCTGCCCAGTTCTCACAGCTGGTCAAGGCTGGCTGGTCCTGGAGCTGGGCCCTCCCCAGGCTTTGGCTTTTCTAGTGCGCTACTTGCGTCTCTGTGGGCAGCGCACTTGCAGCCCTGTTGGCATGAGATTCCACTCTCATCCCCACAGCTTCCACACCATGTCAAGGCCAGTGGCAGGCAGTGTTTGGGGGCAGCTGGTGGCTGGTGCCCGGCGAGCGCTGTGATCTAGCAGGGTGCTGCCCTCCGGGGCTGCTCTAGGAGCAGCTGCTCTCCGGGGCTGCTCTAGGAGCCGTGTGGACATTGGCTCTGAAGAGCTTGTCCAGCTGCCCTGGAGCCCACCGCGTCTGCTGGTAGAGTCGTGTCAGCCCAGGCTGAGCTGACACTGATGCCCCTGCCCACCTGCAGGTTCTCTTTCTTCGTGGACAAGGTGCTGCCACAGTACCGTGACGCCGTCATGTCCCATACGCTCGTCTATGTCCCCTCCTATTTTGACTTTGTGCGGCTCCGAAACTACTTCAAGAGGGAGGACCTGAGCTTCACCCACATTTGCGAATATACCCGGAAGCCAGCTGTGTCCAGGGCCCGGCACTTCTTTCTGCGCGGCGAGAGGCAGTTCCTGCTGCTCACCGAGCGCTTCCACTTCTACAAGAGGTACTTGCGGGTGCTGCGCCAGGGCCGTGTTCCTGGGGACTGGCTGGCCGATGGCATAACAACACTGGTCATTTGGGGAGTCGCAGGAACAAAATGGGGCTGCCGTGCTCGCTTTGAAGGGTCCACATGGAGTGCACCTTACAGCTGTGCTTGTGCCCCCGGGAAAGCCGCTGCAGAGCTCAGCCGCCCTCAGGGAACAGGTCGGGGCGTGCAGAGGGGCTGAGCACGTGGTCAGTGCTGGCATCCAGGGTACCCCAAGAAGCCCACTGTGTACCAGCGGGACGGGGTTGGCCCTGGTGCCGGCCACTGCCCTGGGGGCACTGGAGACACCACTGAGGGTCTGGTTGTCGGCCAGCTCCCCAGGGGCCTGACGGGACTGCCAGGTTGGCCTTTTCTGGCCTTCACAGTGGTGACATCAGGGCCCAGTGCAGTACCCAGAGCGCAGTGTAGTGCAAGTTCTGCCAAGTCTGTCCTGCTCCCAAGGGCAGGCCAGTGACCCCAGCCCTCACCTGGAGACAGGTGGGCGTCGCGTCCCGTCGCCTCTTCCTGGTTCTGGGGATTCTACATCCGACTTTCATAGCTTTCAACCACGCAGACCAGTGGGGGCGTGTCGTCTCAGAACCCAAACTCCTGAGCCGGATCTGCTTTGGGCTGCGCAGTGTGGGGGGGCTGACCCAGCATCCATGTCCCCATGACCATGTGGGAGACCCGGGGACAGATCACAGCAGGGCCGGGGCAGGCTCACCTGTGGGTGCCGGTGCTGGTGTGATGGGGAGCTGGGGGTCGACTGCAACCCCCATCCCTGCTTTGTCCAGGGGTTGGTGGGCACCTGTGGGCATGGCCTGGCTCGGTGTCCGCTGCACAGCTCGGCACCAGGCCCGGGGCTGGCATGGCTCTGGGGTGCCCGGTCAGGCTTCTCCTTGACTTTGCGAAGGGCATGTTGACCCCTGTATCTGCCTGAGTGGCGATATGCTACCCCCAAGTGTGGGGGTCCTCATGTACCACCTGCTGGGGTCCTGCAGCTTCACCCAACTCTGACCCCCTTGGTTGGAGAGGCGACTGACCCCAGAGGTCCTCCATGGCTGCCCCCCACCTGGCCTATGTTGGCTCCTGCCTTGCTCCCTATGACCGTCCTTAGGTTCCAGGTACTTTCTGGAATGATGGGCTCAGGGAACAGTCAGTGCGGGGCTGACTGCTGGTTTGTCACTACCGAACATAATCCAGGGCAGCCTAGGGGAACATGGGGCATGGGCCTTGGCGGGTGCCATTCTTCTCCCTGCTTTGGGGAGTCTCTGAACCCCACCCTTCCCATTCCACAGAGGCTGCAGTACACGGGCAGGATTGATACGCCCGCTGCTGCCTATGGTGGTTTCCGACTCTAGCCTCCACACCCCTCCCTGAGGCGCTGGGCGGGGTGGGTCACCGGCTGCTCCTGCCACTGAGCAGACCTCCCGGCAACAGACGCCGAGTGGCCCTCATGACTTAGGGGACTCTGGGTCACAGCGCTGGTGACAGGAGCAACAGAGACACGTGTGTGAGAAGTTTGTCTTCAGACACCTGAGGGACCAAGGCTCTGAGCTGGCTGCCTCCCAACGGCCGCGTGAGCTCGGGGCTCACCTGGGAGCCATCAGGGACATCTCCCTGGAAGGGTTTTCTTTGGGGTGACGAGGCCAGCAGAATCTCAGAGTCGGGTACGTCGGTTGTGCTGGGCTCCTGAGGAGGGGCTGGTTGGCACCTCCTAGACCTGATTGGTGGGGCTCACCGGGGCTCAGCCAGAGCCCTGCAGCCAGGAAGGCAGCCATGGTGTTTCCGGCCGCCCGCCCACTGCTCCCGCTGCTCTCGCCCCTCCCAGTTTGAGTCTGTGTGGGGCACCCCCCACCACACGGTGGAGGGGCAGAGGCCGGGCCTCCAGAAAGGCCCCACACAGCCCATAACTGACACCCCTGGCACAGTACCAGATGTGCAAAAAATACAAGAATTGGGATCACATTGTACATGCTCAGTTTTTTTTTTTTATTTAAATGTGTTCGTTAAAAAAAAAACAAAAGTAGGTAACAATTTGGTGTTTTTCATGGACGCATTTTTAAGTCGTTACGTACATGTGGCTCCAGCCAACTTCCACTTGCAAGTTCCATTTCTAAAGGCATTTGTGCATGGCCACCGTCCCCACACTTCCACCCCCGGCCCTCCCTCCCCCTGAGTTTCCCACCTGCTGGCTCACTGCAGTCTTCTAGCCACTGTCCCTTGGCATGGCCAGGCCTGGAGCAGGACACTTGGCATCACTGCAGTGATGCCCCAGGTCGCCCCCGAATGGCTGCTGGCTCCCCCTACCCATCCAGGCCCTGCTTAGACCCTCACTGCCTGCGCCCAACCCTGGCCTCAGTCTGGGCAGCTCCCGGGACTGCTTTGCTGTGCAGGGACATCTGTGCCCTCCAGACCTGGTCTGCTGGTCACAGCTGGGCTGCCCACTGGGCTGCTGCCAGTGCTGCTGAGGCTGTAGCACCCGCAGTGCCAGCGGCGCTGAGGGCCATCAAGCAGAGTGGACCTGCTTCTCTTCTTGTTGGCAGTGAGGTTTCCCATTGTGCCAGGTCTGGGTCTGATTGTTCTTGCCACTGCCGAGCCCCCGGCTCCAGGCCCCACTGCACCCCAGAGCCGGGGTAGTGTCTGCATCTGGGTGGCCAGCTCAGGGCCAGCTCAGCTGAGTGTCTGCGGGGGGACCGAGCACTGCGCCAGGAAGGACGGGAGATTCAGTGGGCATCGTGGGCCGGCTCGGAGCAGGCATGTTCGCTGGGTCACCATGGCCCCTTGGCCATGGGGTCCCCCCTACCCCCGCCCTGGAGGTGCCCGTTTGAGTGATGGCTGTGCCACTCCCTGCTCCCCGTGCCTCCTCTGGGGTGTGTCGTTAGTGTTGTGTTTTCGGGTCTGTCACTGGCTAGTTCTCTCCCAGGGACACCCTCTCCTGCTGCTGCCTCTGCTTTCATGAGCAGCTTCCCTGGTCAGTGTGTCTTGTGGCCACCTCAGGTGTGGGGCATCGCCACAGCCAGGATTTTGTGGTTTCTGTGCTCAGTTATGACATTGGTGTTCCTATTTCTCTACTGTGGCCACGCCTGTGACCTACCAGGGGGTCTGCCCTCCCCAGCAGTGTGGGTGCTGGAATCTGCCCCACCCATTCTCGGGGGCCTCTTCTTCCTGGGCTCTGGTTCCTGTCCCAGCCCTGAGCTGCTGCCGGTGCTGCTTTGGGGTGTAAGTCTTGTGGGGAGGTGATGCCCCGCCCTTTGCTCTGACCTCCCCCAGCCATTGGCCTTTGCCGGGGTGGGAGTGGCCCTGCCCCTCGGTGGCTTGGGCTGAGGGCGGCGGCGCTTGCTGCTGGGTACCTGCATGCACATCCCTCCCGGCCCTGGTCAGAGCTGGCCTCAGGGAGGAGCTTCTTCAGCCCCCATGTCCCTCACCTGGTGCCGCCTCCCGACTCCCGGAAGGGGCTGGCTGGGATAGCTGTTGCAGCTTATCATCCAAGGCCAACTCCGGCTCTGCGCTCGGAGCCAAGCGGAAGGAGCGGGTGTTTTGGTGCCCAGCAGGGTGGACGTTGATCCAAGCTCGTTAGCACGTCCTCTTGTGGAGGGCGACCCAGGAGTGTGAGACGGTGAGCCCAGCCCCCGAGCACTGGCACTCAGGACGTAGCCACGCCCTCAGCCTCTCATGCCGGGGGTGCCCTGTGCTGGGGGTGCCCCCCTCTCACCCACACTCCTCCCCTCCCCCGGCAGGTACACCATCAAGGGGGTCCGGAACCTGATCTTCTACGAGCTGCCAACATACGCCCACTTCTACAGCGAGCTGTGCGACATGCTGCGGGCTGGCGGCGGGGTGGAGGCAGCCTGGACCTGCACCGCACTCTACTCGAGGTATGACGCCCAGCGGCTGGCCGCTGTGGTGGGCATGGAGCGGGCCGCACAGATGTTACAGTCCAAGAAGAACGTGCACCTCTTCGTCACTGGGGAGAGATGAGCCCACCGCAGGCCAAGAGTGGCGCTCAGCAAGATCGTGCTGTGGATCCAAGCCCTGGGACCTGTCTGGGCACTGGCGAAGCTACTCCTTGCAGGCTGCGTGGCCCTGAAAAGCTGCGTGAGTGCTAGGACTTGGCAGCTGGTGTCTCGGGGTCAGCAGGGCTCCGTGGAGCACCTGGAAGGAAACGCCTGGGTGTGTGAGCTGACAGTCAGGCCTCGCGACAGTGAGATGGCGCTTGCTCAGTCTTGGAGGCGAGGATTTGACCTGGGGAGGGGTGGGGCAGCTCTGATCCCACTAGTGCTGCTCCAGCAAACAACTGGGCAAGGCCGCCATGGGTGGAGCAGAGAGTTGGACATCGAGATTGGGGCTGTCTCTGGGTAGTGGTTTCTGCTTTTCAGCTGCACCTGTGTGCGTGCAGACATGCTGTGGAGGGAGGCATCAGGACATTCTCGTCCTCCTAAAGTTCGTCCCATGGAGAAGCAGGGCTGGGGCCCGCAGTTGGGTCTCCAGTTGGCTCCTTGTCCATGGCGGGGGGTGGGGGCGGACAGCTGGGTCTGACCCTGCAGGTCACAGGCCAGAGCCTCTTGGCTGCGCGGGGCCTGCTCCCAGCACGCTGTCTACTCACTGTGGGCCTCTTGGCAGCCCTGTGGCCCTGACTGTGACCTCGCCTCACTTAACTGCACTCGGCAAACTCCCGTGATGCTGTCTTCGAGTGAGACAGAATCCCTGCCCATGAGAACCTGCCCCGGGGGAGGTACCTCTCACAGCTGAAGCAGCCGCCCTGGGTCACATGGGTCTACAGAACTACTGTTTCTCCCCAGCATCTTCCCTGAAACCTCCAAGATGCTAGTTTTAATTCAACCTGGAAGGGTCATTCACTGATTTTTTTTTTTTTTGGGGGGGGGGCCCTTGCCGGCGGCCAGGGAACGAACCAATGCTGCAGAGGCTGCGGGCAGCCTCGCAGCCCAGCGCTCAACCGCTGCACCAGCAGGGGAGGCCCCATTCACTGATTGTTTTTAAACACACAGCAGGAAATGTTTTAATTAAAAATAGTTATATTCAGGCCTCCCCTGGTGGCGCAGCGGTTGAGTGCTGGGCTGCGAAGCTGCCTGCAGCCTCTGCGGTGCCAGTTCGATCCCCGGCCGCCTGCGAGGGTCCCACATGGCGCGCAGACCTCTCCTGCCGCCCGCTGCTCCCCTCAGCAGTGTACTTCGGTCCTTCTGCCTGCTCTGCTCCCCGCTCTGGCTCTGGTGAATTCTCTCACCCTCCCGCGCTTCTGACTGTACCCAATGCTTGTATAAATAAAAAATAAATCTTTAAAAAAAAATAGTTAAATTCACATTGTATGTCTTTAATTTCTGTTGTTTCAAGAAGTAACCCTGACGTTGAGTTGCCTTCCCCACCTACCGCTGGGTTCGTTGTCACATAGTCACTTTTAATCGTAGCAGGTAGAAATGAAATGTACTTTTAAAGTTGTACTGTTAAAAATCTTTTATTTTGAAACATCCTCAGAAAAATTACAAGAAAGAACGCAAGCGCTTGAGAGGATGTTGCTGCCTGCATGGCCTATCATGCCCAAGCTCTGCCCCCGACGCCCTGGCCCAGCTCAGCCTCAGATCACACCGCCCTGGGCTGGACTGGCAATCCATAGTGGCCTCAGGGGCCTGGCATCCTGGCCCTGGCTCCTGAGGACAGTGGGCCAGTATCTGGGCCAGCGCATCCTGTGATGGGTCGGGTGGTGGATGACACAGGTGGGGCCGTGTGCTCTTTGTGGGACGCCAAGGCTGCATGGCAGCGCCCAAGGTCAGCTGACACTGCCCAGCAGAGCACCAGCCCTGCCCCCAGCCCCCCACCTTCCATCCGTAGGCTCAGCCACCTTCCTTAGCTGCCTCAGTGGTCTCTGGTGTAGCCGGCATCTGGCAGTGAGGGAATTGCTTGTTGAGTGACAAGAGTTTGCCCCTGCCAATGTGCCCGGGGGATCCAGCTCACCCCAGGGATCCAGCTTAGTCCCAGGGATCCAGCTTAGCCAGGGTGTTTGGAGACTTGGCTGCCTACCTCGATCGAGGGCCTGGCTGGGAGAAGCCTGAAAGGATTGGCTCTCAGAGTGGGGGGGAGGGGCCGGTGCAAGTGAGTCTGGTCCCCGCGCACACACGCGGATAGTGCAGTGACTAGGGGCACGTGTGCATGCAAGCACCTGACAGCCCCATCCCAGGAGGGACTGCCAAGCTGCAGGCCCCAGGGCAACAAGCCCCACTGTCTGGCACCATCCCGGCCCAGCCCACCAGGCCCTGGAACCTGCACTTGCCATTGGCTGCTCCTCCTCTTCGCAGCTTCCCCCCAGGAGGCAGGCAGATGTCCTAAGGCCTAGGAGGATGGACATGGGCCTCTGATTCCCGTAGCCCAGGTGTGCTGTGACCAGCCCACCGGGCTGCCAGTGGGTCCCAACCACACCCAAGGGTGCAGAGCGCAGGGATGCTCAAGTGGGGGGTCCGCCCTTTGACTTGGGGCTTGCAGGGACAAGGAGTCTCCTGGCTCTGCTGAGTCACTCTCCGGAGTGAGCTTATTCCACGAACCCAGGTTTCCTGAAGCGCCCAGAGCTCCTGTGGCAACTGTGGGGTGCCCTAGGCCCCACGTGCGCACAGAGCCACACAGGGTGTGCTCCTCTCTCCAGCAGACTTTCCCCTTTGAAACGTGCTGGTGCTGGTCCTGGCCCACTTCCTGGTCAAGTGCGCTCAGGTCAGCTGAGGTGATGGTGCCACTGAGAAGCCCTTGTCCCGGGCGGGGGGAGGGTGCTCTCAGCAGGACTCCCTTAGGGAGTTCACACTGTCCTCAGTGGAGAATAGGACATCATGACCTGGCTTTCTTGCACAAAGCGAGCCATGTTCAAAGCGCCCTTTGTCCACGGGTTCCCCCAAATGGGCCTCACGCTCGGACCCACTCAGCGTTGGTCTGCATGTCCTCAACACCCTTGGCCCCAGCCGTACACCCCATCCTTATCCTCTTCTAGGAAAGTAAGATCCCACTGGTGTCCGGGGAACCCTGTCCCAGCTTGCTCTCGAGTCTGGGCTGAGCCTGGATGACTCGTCATCCCCACAAGTGAATTCTTTGTATTCAGCGTTCACGTGATGAGAATCCCACCAAGGTAAAGTCATGATGACTTGGTCCAGAAGAGGATGCAGGTTATTTTCTCACCAGATTTCTAACGCGGTTTCAAGAAACGTTCAGCCTTTGCACAGCACAGACCCAGTCGATCCCCTCTCAGTGGCCCCGCCAGGCCACACATGCAGCAAGGACCCCCAGGACCGCCTGTCATTCATTTCTCAGCTACCAGGTGGGGGAGGGGAGGGCCGGTGAGGAGGGCAAGGGCAGGCTTTAGAAGCCCCTGTGCTCTTAGCAGGCTGCGATGGGGTGACAGCCCACTAACCAGGCAACATGCCCCTTGGGAGACCTTACAAAGGGCCTCGGGACCTCCCTGCTTCCTCAACTGCTGTCTGCAGAAGGCAGGTCCCTTCCTCCTCCCAAGGCCGCAGGAAAGAGGGAGCCTGAAGCCTGAGGCCGCCACCCTTCTCAGTGGTTTCCTAGCCCTGCTCTGACAACCAGCCGATGGCAAAATTGCTCCTAATCACTTCATAAAAGAGACCATCTTTCCCTGTGAGGGCACTGGCATCTCCCACTGGGTGATCTGTTGTTCTGAGCTGTTTGGTGCCCCACCCCTGGGGCCAGTGCCCGGGCTGCTGCTCAGCAGACCCACAGATGACTCGCTCTAAGAACCCCGGGCTGAGAGGTGCAAGTCCAGCCTGTAGGTCTAGAATTCTGTGCCACTGAGACCGACACAAGCCACGCGAACCAGCCCCCAAGCTGCTGGCAACCGAGGATGGGGGAGGCCACCCTCTGTGGATCCCACTGTGCTGGACGGGGGCCTCCAGCTGACTGGACAGAGGCACAGACCCCCACCCCGGGCAGCTCCTGTCTTGGGGCCGCTGGGTGGCAACACCGCCCACATTCCCAGGCCTAACTCTCCTGCCCGGTGACCGCAGACCACGTGGCAACCCTCTTGGCCGCATACTCCTCGTCTGTTGCAGGAAATCTTAGTATCCACCTCAGGAGGGCACGGAGAAGAGCCTGCTGCATGTCTGGCCACGAAGAAGCCCACTAACCAGGTGAGGAGGAGGGGGTGGAAAACAGGAGGGTCCAGCAGCCTGGCCTGAAGCCCCAGGTGGTGGGGCAGGCCTGGGCCTTCGCAGCCTGGGCCTGCACAGCCTGGGCCAGGGCCATGGTGGGCAGTGGAAGGAGGCTGGAGCAAGCGGCTCCCCCGGCCACATGCACAGGGGCCAGGTGAATGTGGAAAAATCCTGAGTCCTGGGTCCTGGGGCTGGTGTTGCCCAGGGCTTCTTGACTCATGCCCCGGAGCCCAGTTCTTGCAGAATCCCAGAACATTGAGGCTCTGGGCTCTCTAGGCTGGAGGCTGCTTCTTCGCGGACTCCTCCCATTTCCTGAGTCCCAGAAACAAGCCAATGCGCCTGGCTCCCTGCGTTCTGACCTCCCTCTGTCCCAAGTTTCTGCCTGGTTTGGCTACAGTGGGAAATTCCACTGCGCCTGCCAAGTCCAAGAGCAGGTATCTCCATTACATGGAGTCCACAGAGCTCGATCTGTGCCACCCCAGGCTGGTCCCAGCTCCTGTCTCGTGGGTGGCCATGGGCCTGTTCCTGGTGCTCCGGGAGGCTAGGGGGAAGGGGGCAGCCCTGGCGCTGCGACCGCGAGCTGGGAGTGGAGTTGGCCTCTGCTCAGCAGCTCCATAGCGTTCAACTCCGCCCACCCTCACCTTGGCTCTGAGGCTCAGCATTCCACCCGCCTGTTGGAATCAAGTCCTCGCCGAACCCTCTCTGACTGCAGTAGAACCAGAAACTGCAGTAGTTTGGGCTGCCCAGGGTTCTTTTTCGCTCATTCTGGCTTCCTCTCCCCTCTTCTCACCCCTCACTCCCGCGATCTCCTGCCCACCCCCTCCATACTCTTTCTCGAATCTGTGGGCCGAGCTGGCACCCAGTGACCGGGCCAGGTCACAGCACCCGACACGAGGCACCTCTATCTTCACAGAACATCAGCCTGAATTCTCGGTGACCCCTACATCCAGGCGCAGCACCACAGGGCTGACCTTGCAGAGCCACCAGGGTTGCAGAGGAGAGGGGGAGGCGTCCGGCGTCCCAGGACGGAGGCCGCAGGCATGTGATGGGCTGGTTGGTTCCTCCAGGCACAACTTCTGACCCCCTTGAGGAGGTGAGTGCGCTGACATGTGGGCGCCGGGTGGGGTGTTCCGAACAGGATGGGCGGTGCCCAGGGAGGCTTCCTGGAGAGGCAGGGCCCGCAGCTGAGGGCCACTTGCTGACCTGCCGAGACGATACCGGGACCCACAGTGTTGTGGCCCACGGAGCTCTGCCCGGGGTCTGCTCACTGCTAGCTGCGGTGCTGCACCCCCGCCCCATGTTCTCCGCTGCTCCCAAGGCCTAGAGGCCAGCATGGCATTGCGGGGACAACCGGGGCCAGCTCCCAGTGGCCCTCTGTTCTTGGCTGCTGGCCATCCGGGGATTGCCAGGTACGGGCCAGACTGTTGGTAAAGGTGACATTTCTGCCTGGCTTTGGCGAGTGGTTCTTAGCATATCATCCAGCAGCCTGAATCTGGGGGAGGAGGAGGCTCCTTAGGGGCAGAACCCAGGCTCTCTGCTGCTTTGTTCTATATCTGAGCTGAGGTCATTTTCAGAGGCCAGCTGGCCTAGGGACACTGCAGGTTTAAGCCCTGCTCAGAGTCACTCTCACAGCCACAGAGCAGGCCCGTCATCGGGGAGGGGCCCTCCGCAGCCACAGGAGAACAGGAGGGGCCAGTCTTTGGGAGTGCTCCGGTTGCCTGTATCAGTACTGGAAGAGGGTACCTGGGGAAAACAGCCTGCTGTCCACTGACCATCTCCTGATGTCGGGGTCAGCCCCGCTGTCCACTGACCACCTCAGGCACTCGGACGTGGCCTTGCAGCCCTGTGGCTCTCAGGCCGTTTCTGGGCCTCAGTGTTCTCCCCGCACCATGGTCTTTTCTGCCCCCAAACCTACTGCTGTTGGGCCATGGCATCAGCCTGGCTGCCTTCAGGGCATGCTGGTGCTTCTGGCAGGTTCTGGGTGATGAGGGGCCTTGAGGGAAAATCAGTAAGAGAAAGGGGGAGTTTGCTCAGCGGCCATGCAGCACAGCTGTCTGCATTTGGGGGCTGGGACACCAGCCCCAGCCTAAGCACCCTCTCAGTGCCTTTCCGCCTTAGGTCTGCGGCCCTGGGGTGCTCACCCCACGTGCCTGCCCACGTGACCACTCATCCTCATGGCATGATAACAACATGAACAAGGGCAGTCTGGCCTGTGCGGCCTCACGGTCAGGCCTGTGCATCCTCGTGGTCAGGCCTGCGCAGTCTCACAGTCAGGCCTGCGTGGCCTCGCGGTCAGGCCTGTACAGCCTCGTGACATCTTTTGCTTGATTCGTGGCTCACCCAGAAAGAATGTGTGCATTCCCTTAGATCAGCATGCAGCGGGGTCTTTTCTCGTGCAGATGTGCCAAAGGTTCCTGAGACAGGAGCTAAAGGAAGGGGATCTTGAGGCAGCCCCACACAGGCCGTGTGCTGTGGTATTTCCTGTGGCTGCCCACGTGGCCCAGCAGGTGTAGGTCAGAGAGTGAGTCTGATGAGGCCGCCTCAAGGCATTGGTAGGTAGCTCTTGACCTTGGACCTGCCTGCTGACTGCAGACTCACTTTGTAGGACAGGGTCCCATTTCCTGGCTGGTGGGGAGTTGGGGCCCCATGTCTTGGCTGGTGGGGGCCCCATGTCCTGGCTGGGGGGACCAGGCACCAATGTACCCTCAGGTCACCATGTCCTTGGCCCAGGGCCCTTCCTTCCTCAGGCCGCGGGGCTTTGTCTGTGCCGGGGCTGCAGGGACCCCGCCGCTATAGCCCGAGAAGCCGCTCAGCTCTTGGGGTCTTCTGCAGGTGGGGCCCAGCACCGTCTCTGGCTCAGTGCCAGCGGACCTGGGATCTGGTTATAACAGCAGCCTCTTCTGGCACCTCCTCCGTTAGTGCTTGGCTGGTCTCAGGGCCACTTTGCAAGTTTTGTCCCCCATGTGCACAGGCACAACCAAGCAAGTGACCGAACCCGAGGGGCGGGTTTCAGGGTGTCTGACAACCTGGACGGCGAGGCCTGCGGATCCAGACACAGAGCTGAGAGCTGAAGTGGGAGACATTTGTGACGTCAGACCTGGTCAGGTGCGCTCCCCCCAACACCCCACTGCCCCTGCCGCCTGTCCTGGCCACAGAGCTGGTCCCACCCCTGTCCTGGCTGCACAGCTGGGACTCCCTGGTCAACAATGGCACAGACCTCCGGTCCCCGCGTCGGGCTCACGAGGCCCATGTGTACCCCTGTACACCTGTCTCAAGTCACTGTCCTTAGCCTGCTGGAGACCCAAGGGAGAGGGAGGGGCTTTGTACCCATGCGCCGTCAATACACTCTCAGTGGGGGCAGGGGAAGCTGGGGCACCCAGAGGACGCCAGGCCCCTTCCAGCCTGGGTAGGGGGGTTCCGTGGAGAAGCGGCCAGGTGGGGGTGTGGGGGCGGGAGCCCAGCCAGGCTAAAAGGAGAGCAGTGCCCCACACCAGCCGTGTCGCTGGGACTCGAGGCGTGTTTTAAAGCTCCACGCTGGGACCGCTTCTGGGTGGTGTTACCCCAGCCGTGAGAGCCCAGGACCACAGGTCTTTGCCCAATGAGCGTCTCCTTCACGAAGCCATCAGATGCCGCGGGCAGCTTCGAGAAGGGAGTTGCACTGTCTGGGCCAAGCTCGGACTAGAGGCTCAGCCGCACTGGAGCGGGTGTCTGGGAGCAGAAGTGGGCCCTGGTGCTAAGGCCGAAGGTGGAGGAGGCAGGGGTGGGGGGAGGAGGGAGGGTCGGACAGGAGGAAGGCGTCAAGCATGTGGGCTGGGGCAGGGGCGATTCATTCAGCTGCTTTTTAGAAGGAAACTCCCTGGTGTTTCTGGAACCAGAGAACCACATTATTTGGCTGTGACCACTCCTGATGGAGCTGCGGGAAGGGGTCCTCCCCGGGGTGGGTCTTGGGCTCCCATGGGTCAAGGCCTACCGGTGCCCTCACAGGATGGGGGCAAAGTGGACCAGTAGGCCATCAGCGGGCATCAGGGTCCAATCAGCCTTGTTGCACAGAATGCTCCGGGACCTTAGCAGCCCCTGCGGCCACCAAGGGCCTGGGAGTGCCCCCAGGCTCCCTATGGTTTTCTGACATTCTATGGGCATCATTTCTTATGCTGCTGAGTCAATGGTGGTCATCAGTCAGCCTCCTCACTGCCACCCCCATTGCTTTGCCAGTGGCCTTGGTATTCTGGAGCTGTGCTCCAGGCAGTGGCAGGACAATCGCAGAGCTGATTGTCCCCCGGCCCTCAGCGTGTGGCTGGCCAGCCTCTTTCTGGGCCAGTGGCCAGAGGGACCATCACAGCATCGTGTCTAGCTTCTCCTCAGCTGGTGATTCTGTAAAGGAAAGGGAAGTTAAGGTAGGAAGTTCTTATTTACCGTCAAGTCATTTTACATAGAACAGCGTTCGCAGTTGGCTAGAAGGGACCTGAAAATGTTCACGAGCCAAACAGCATCTCCCTGCTTCTGTCTCCTCAAAAGCCGCCACGTGCGTTTTCAAAGGCTTATTCATGGACTAATTTCCTTCGTCTGCAAATAAATGTGAGTGTTCATGAAAGCCATTAGAATCATGCCCTGCAGTTTTGAAATAATATTCAATTAGTTTTTAATGAAAGGAAATTTATACAAAAAGGATTAAGTATTCTTCAGCGAGTGCTGTGACTTATACTTCCAACACAGACTAACACTTTGAATAGGCACTTTTCATGCAAGTGAACTATTCTTGGTTAATGTTTAACATCCTAATAAATGATAACTACATTTTGTTTGGGGGAGATGAAAGCAGGTAGCAATGAAATGCCTGGCTATTAGAAGTTTGATTATCTGGATAAATTTGGGGTGAATTAAATCCCAGGTATAACGACACTTTCTCAAATTCCATCCTGGTCTTCCAGGTCTTCTTAGCGCCTGAAGGTAGTGCCAGAAGGCAGTCAGTGGGACCTTCTCACACATCCTCCCGGCTGCTGGTGTGACGACAGTGCTCCCTCTAGCCTTCTGTCTAAGCTTGATTATAAACATCCTCCGAGTCGCAGCATCTTGACCTTTCTGTCTCCTCCCCTTCCTGGTTTCTATAAGGACAGCACAGATGGGCTGGGGACTCAGGCAACAGGATAGAGGCCGAGGGGGTCCTTGGTCTCCTGCTGGGAGTGTGGGCCCCCTCCACCCTCAGGCTCACCGACGGAGACCAGCTCAGATTCGCTAGATCAGTATTTTGACTCAGTGCCATGAAACTGACACACAAGCACCCAGTCAGTGTGGTAACCCGTGGGAGGCGTTGTAGCCATGTCAGTAGTTCACCTGGTAAGATTACTTGTCAACACGCTCCCCCTCGTGATCCTGTCAGCCTTGGCTTTGCCCTTGCTGGCCCCTGGGTGTCGACGCTCCTCTGGGGTGTGTGTGAGTGCTGTGTGTGGTGTGTGCATACGATGTGTGGTGTGTGTGTGATGTGTGTGTGCGCATGTGTGCATGCATCAATCACAAATGCATGCAGCCATGTGTGCGTGCGTGTGTACACGCACATGTGTATACATGTGTGCATGCATGCAACTGCATGTGTGATGTGTTATGTGTGTGCATGTGTAATGTGTTTTGTGTGTGCGTGCACATATGTTCTCCATCCTGGAGTGGTGTCTGGCCAGAGCTGGCTGGGTCACAGGCAGGAGTGCTCAGCACCTCTCGCGAGGCTGCTCTCTCCACTCCTGGTGCAGTCTCTGTGCATCTGTGACATTTTGTCCCCACGTCATGGTTTCCCTCAGCGCCTCCCTGTTCTTGGGGCCTCTGTTCCACACCCCACCCCAGGCTGCCTTTATTTACTGCCCGTGAGTGTTTGGAGCTCCCTGAGTTTCCCTTTGAGCCATTTATGCCCTGTCCACCTTGGTCCTTTGTGCATATCCAGAGGCCCTTGCTTCTCAATTCAGATGTTTTTTAGAAAAATAAGGGCAACTTGAACAATACCAGCAGTCGGGGTGACTAACATGGGGGCTTGTTTTGGGGTGTTAACCCATAGCCTCCCCTCTCCCTGAGCAGGTGTCTATGGTGCTGGTCTTCATCTGGGTCCAAGCTTTGCCTCTGGAGTGAAACTGGGCAAATACTGAGCAAGGAAGGGACAGTTTCAACCAGCATAGTTTGGTTGGCAAGGGGCATCCATGGAGAGAACCATAGTGCTTGGCGCCTGGAAAATCTCTGTTTTTCACCATGGAGGCTGGGACAATAAGCCACGAGGGAGAGAACAGGGTAGACATAGAAAGAATCTTCCTCATTGTATCAATTATTTGTATCATTTTTTTCATTTGAAACTTGAAATATTTGTGCATATTGTTTTAGGACAGAAATTGAGTTACCTTGGGGGGTTACTAACAAGTGTTTTCTCTCCTTATTAAATTTTACAGTGTCATGTAAATTTTACAGTGTCGTGAGCATGTTCATGAAATGGAATTTTACCTTAAACCTTGAAGCATAACTTCACCTCCAGTTCTCACAACTTGCTCCCACACTTCAGCACATCATTTGGACCTCCTCCACCCAGTGTTGTGCCTCTTCTTCCTGCATTTGCAGACCACATCCCACAAGTCCTGCCATACATGGCTCCCCCCGGAGTGAAAACTTAAGCGGCCGCAGTAGGATTTCTTCACAGAATCAGGCCCGCTCACTTCTAGTCACATAAACCATGGAGATTTGAATGACTAACTGTGGCGCCCAGTTTTACATGGAGCTAAAATGATCAGTTGATGATTGATTTTCTGAAGTGTGGAATTGGTTGCCTTCTCCCGACGAATTTCTTGAGCCTTCTAAAAGCTCCGACCTGCTCTCCGTGTGCTAAACATTCACGATAGGGGACATGTTTCTGCCACACGAAAGGTAGGTAACTGGTTTCAGCCTCGAGGGAAGGTTGTTAGATGAATGTCACTTGCCGTTATTGCTGAGACAGGCAGCCGTGAAAAGGGTATGAGTGCCAGCAACCCTCCTCCCTAGAACGAAACAGTGCACTCTCTATGGTCAGACGGGGTTGGGTGGCTCTGTCTGACCTCACGTGGCCCAGCCGGCTCAGAGTCCTGTTGGGCTGTGGTTCTTATAGCCTGTGGTTCTTTCCACTCCCATGCCAATGTGCATGGCCACACTGTGTTGTGGCCAGGACCCCACAGCGGTGGCTTCACTGAGCCATAGGAAACCACAGTGGAGATGGTCCAGGCACACAGGGTGTGGGTGGTGTGTTGGCCCCAGTGTGCTGCATGGGCTGGCGGCCCCTGGCTCTCGGCATTCCTTTAGTTGCTATGCAGGAAGGGGCACTAACCTTTCCCTTGGTGAGTGAAGATCACAGACAGCTCCAAGTCTAGCTTTTCCCTTGGCTGTTGCCAGGATCCCCTGCAAGGTCTCGAGAACAATGGCTGGAGGAGATGGAAAAGGAAAAAGACTATTCTGTTCTTTCCTCCCACTTCAATCTGCAGTGACCCCTCACAGCACAGCGGGTGCACTTGTACTGGCCAGGTAAGCAGGGAGTGCATGCAGCCCTTTCTTCACTTTACCGCCCACCAGGGCCCTCGGGGTGCGTCCCATCGGCTCCAGCTGTGAACCTGGCTGACCCTGCGTGCCCACGGCCCAGAGGCACCAGCCTGGCAGCTGAGCTTGGCTGTCCTGGTGGCCCTGGGCCGCCCTGCTTTAAGGAGCCCGGGCAAAGCCTGTGTCAAGTACCCCATCATGTCACTCAAGTTCTCGTTGTGCACCCCCTTCTGGGAACTGTTCTCCTCTCCCAGGGTACCTGTGGTCCCCTGGGGCTGCTGTGTCCTTCCGTGACCCTGGCGTGAGGCTGCCTGGCCTAGCCTGGCTGGTTTCAGTACTGACCTCCTTAGGGCTTGGTGTAGGGCCCTGCCTTAGGTCAAGCCAGTGCCGCCCCACCTTTTCAGGGGTGTATGGCTTTGGGGTCCAGAAGGTTGGCAGAACCTGAGCAGCATCAAGCTGGGAAATTCATATGGGCCATGCCTCTCAATTTAGGGGTACAGCTAACCTGGGCTGGGGAAGCAGAATGGAGCCAGCAGAGAGCAAGGAGGGATAAAGGCCAAGAGTGGGAGTGTCCGGCCTCACCCCATGTCTGTGCCTTTATAATTCACTGTCCACTTTTCTTCAGCTACTTCAAGTAGAATTACTCTCATTGGAAAAGTTACCAGAATAAACTAATATTATAACTGTTTCCATGACACCTTGATTCAAGAAAGAAATGCAATATTAATGGTTTGAACTAGATTTTCCCTGCATCCTTATTTTCAGCTACGTCTTCTCAGTTAATCACAATGGCTAACAAAGCTTAACGTTAAAAATGTTTCTCTTACTGAAAGACTCAGAATCCCTGGATAACATAATTTAACACCTACTAAATTTTCCAAAAATAATTTTTGGGTGAAGGTACTTATTAAGTCTCCATTTGTATATATGCAGCTAGCTATTACTACAAAGCATTTTTAAAAACTCTATTAGTGACTTTGGTCTTTTTCATTTGAATACTTTAAGTTAAATAAAGGTTCTACTTTGAAAATCCTTTGTTTCTTAAAAGGACCTGGATAACTTTTACATAATTTGAGACATAATTTTCTATTCACAGAGCACTGCTATTTGTGGTGACCAGTTATATTGGCTGGCATGTGGAAATGGCTAAACTAATATAAGTGAAATGCTTTTCACTTTTCCATGGAGTTGGGTTTTCTTTTTCCACTGATGTTTCAGCTACACACTGGGTAATTGAGCTTTGTGGGCCTCCTGGAGATCAAGTTATCATTTTAACTAACATTTCTATGAAATACTGAGTTGAAGGTTAAAATACCAAAACAAAACAAAACAAAACAAAACAGACATTTCCATTTCTTAGTCCCAAGAAAGGGAGTTCCTTTGACTTCTTTTATTTTCCTTTGCCCATCTCTGCCCTTAATTGTCTCCACAACACCTGATTGAAAAATTAGTCAAAGGCTTAAACTATATGTTTGGAAACTCTGCAAAATATTGATTAAAATAGAGGCATGGAGAATTAACTGCGAACTAGTTCTTATATTTCTCCTGAGTATAAAGGCATTGAAGATGAAAATTAGAAAAAAAAAGTCATTAGGTAGGATGTATAATTTAAAAAATGTAAAACATTTAAATTAGAAATAATTGCTAGTCCCCCAAATTAAAAGTATCAAATTTATTGCATGCTTTCAAAATAGAGCAAATCAGAAGCAAAACTTCAACTCCCCACCACCACTGAGTAATGCAGGACTTGCAGGGAGTGCTGGTGAGTGCAGGCAGCTGTGTGACCAAGCAGCACATGTCTCGGAAATTCCCCAGCTCGTGTTTGGAGCACACAGACTGTTTTGAAGGCAACACTGATAGCGAGAATTCTGCATTCTAATGCGAGGGAAAATGCACCGATGCTGTGCAGGCCTGGCCTGAATTACTAGATTTGACAAGTCTGAACTGAAGTTCCTCGCACACAGATAAGTTTTCTGAGCACACTGGGGACAACAACCTGGGTGGTAGGCCCTTTTGGCCCTGCCTATGGGGTGCGGGTGTGACTGGTGGTGGTGGTGGTGGAGGGTGATACTGACGCTTCCTTTCAATGTGAAATGAAGTTCTTAAAAATGTGAAATGGTTGGATTGCCCTGTCAGCCGAAGCCACATACCCAGACTAGGGTTTTACCTTCAGACCAATGCCTCCCATTCCAGTCTGCCTTACAGGCGCTGTCTGGAGAAACGCCCACATACTTTAGCTGAATGCCATAGGTGTGAGCGGCTAGCACCAGGTGCCCCAACATCTCAAGGTTTTATTTAGTATTTGCTTAGTAGAAAGGTGTCTCCTTTGATCCTCTTGCTTGTTGTCAAGGTAGAAAATTGTCCAGTTCAACAAATATTCCCTGAAATAATGAAACTGGTAAAGAATGAGTGTCTATAAACTGGGAGGGTGGGGGGGGATTACAAAGAAGCAAGGAAAGGAGGTTTCTGCTCCAGTTCCGCAGGCGCACTTACATAAGCACAGCTCTGTTCTTTGCATCAGTCCCCGCACAGCTGCTCTGCCCCAGCAGCTCACGTTCTCCACCAGGCAGACTCACCTCTCCCGTCTGTCCCTGCAGTCCATGCCCTTCGCTGGCCAGGCCCCCAGGCCACCAATGAAGTTGAGAACTGGGCAAATATATGAGTGGTTCAAGTCCTCAGGTAAGAAGGGGCTGCTGTGCGGGGTTTCAAGGTGGTGGCCATGGGGGATGTGTGTGGTCTTGCAAAATTAAAACAGCTGCAGAGATGGACTTTCAAGCCCTTTGTCAAGACATCTGTCTTTTCCCTACTTTTGTGTGGTTCAGTGTATGTTTACAACATGTAGACACTCGCCAACTCATTTCCAAGGGGAAAATCAAGCTGAGGGGGGAGCTTTATCAGAGAGAGGGAGGGAGGGAGGAGGGAGAGATGAGGTGGGGAGGAAAGAGAGAGGGAGAGAGAGAGAGAGAGAAGGGAAGCTGGGGAGGAGCTGCTGTCCTCAGGATCCCTCTCGCTTGCTCTTTGCCAGCTCCTGGCTGACTCTCACCCAGGGTGGCTGAGATCCCAGGCAAGGATCTGGCTGATTCAGGCAGAGCAAAGCAGATGCAATCACCAGGTCACCCAACCTGAGGGAGTCCAGGCAGGGGCCAGAGCCGCCTTGGGCCCGGCCCTGTCCATGGTGCTGACCGGCCTCCAGCTCCAGCCCGGCGCGCCCTCCGCGTGCTCCCGACCCTGCAGCCTGCGCGCTCGCCAGGCGCTCGGGACCCTCCCGACCCGCCCGGGCTGGGTGGCGCGGGGCGCGGCGGTCACGTGCGCGGCCGGGAAGGTTCCACTCGCCGCGGCGCGCGCTCCCGGCTCGGCCTCCGGCCACCGCCCCCGCCGCCGCCGAGCCAACCTGCGCCCCGCCCCGCCCCGAGGGTCCCCGCGTCCCCGCGCGCCGCCCTCCCCGCGGCCCGCAGCCCCGCGCGCCGGCCCCCGCCCGCCAGCCAGTTGGTGCGGTCCATGGCGAGCCCATCATGGCGATTGAAGGTAGGTGGCGGGGCCAGGCGGCGCGAGGGGCCCGAGAGGCGGCGCGGGGGCGCGGGGGGCAGCTGTGGCTCGGAGGGCGGTGTCCGGAGCACTGGGCTCCTGGCGCAGCTCGGGCGGGGGAGGCGCGGCCCCAGCGGCCCCCAGGCCCCGCTTCGGCCCTGGGTCTGGCAGCTTCTGCCCGGGCCCGCGGAGGGAGCCGGTCGGGCCCACAGGTGCTGCGCAGAGGGGGCTGCGCGCTGACCCGCGGACAGGCGGGGCGCGGGGTGGGAGTCCTGCCCACGACCTTGCTCTGAGCAGCTCACCCCCCATCGCACTGCCTTCCTGTTCAACCCAAGGTTTGCTGCCGGGATACTCCTCCAGCTCTCCCTGCCGCGGAGCTGGCGCCTGCCAGGCACCTCTTGGTCCTTGTCCACCGCCCCCCCCTTGGCTGTTGTGGGGCCAGGAAATTTGGGTGAGGTTAATTTCCTCCTCAAGTGGTTTTCTCCTAACACTCAAAACTGCTTTTTCTCTGGGAAAGGAAGGTAAATACACGTTAGCTGGGAGCGCCGGCTCTTAGACCCCACTGGCTCTCTCTGTGCCCACCGTCCTAATCTCAAAAAGTAGTTCAGTAAATTAAGTTTCTACGGAAGGCAGTTTGCACCAAAGTGCATCTTTCTCTTGTTCCAAACACCTGTACTGGTGTGAAATGTCTAAATTTGCTTCGTGTTTAAGAACAGTGACCACCCCATGCATGGCCACGTCTGCGAGCAGCACCCCAGCCTGTGGGGTCTCCCTGGCAGGAGGAGGGGGCTGAGTGTCTGCGGCTGTGCTGGGCTCCCAGCAGATCCCTGCGAGCCCCTGAGTACAGCTGCCCAGCGCCTCTGTCTGGGTGGCCCGGCACTGGCAGCAGGCAGACACTTCTGTCAAGTCTCTAGAACTCCCAAATTGCTTCAGCTGGGTTTGTGTTTATCTCATTTATTTAGGAACTTGGGTGACTATGGGCAGGGCATGCACTCAGACACTCACAGGGTCTGTGTAGCTGGGGCGGTGGCGCCTGGGAGCAGAAGCGGGAGTCCCGCGGCCGGTGTCCCCCGTAGCACCTCCAGCCCCTCACTGAGGCTTCAGACACCAGAGACCGAGTTCTGTACTTTATTTCCCCAATGGTTTTGTGGTAAAATTTCTTTTGATTTGGTAAAGGTGAAAAGCCTTATGAAGAGTGTAAGAAAGAATTAGCCAAACAGTGTCCAGGGAGGATCCTGTTCCTAGAGTGCGATTACTTAAAATCCAGTCTTGGCCAGTTCTCCCCAGGCCTCCCCCTACCCCCAGTAACAGGTGACTGGTGGCCTTTCATGTCAGCTGATGGCAGTTTGCTATGCTCCCTGCTGCTGGCATGTTTGAAGAACAAGATTTTAAAAAAATGCTCATTTTCTAGAGATTCTTCTATGAGACACTCATGAATATTTTCATACTTAAGCATTTGTTTAAGGTTTCATATTGTGAAGATCAGGATTTAAGTCTTTCCTAGTTTGGCAAGAAAGCATAGTTAACATTGGTGTTTCAAGCAAAGATGCCAGGTCAGGCTGGTCTCACTGTTTCTTGCAGACTGAAGACCGAAGGATTCACCCCACCCCCATCCCACCCTGTGTCTGGATGTGGCATGAGCTCTGGGTGAGGACTGTGTTCTGAGGACACCTTAGCATTCTGGGGGCCCAAGCAGGCATCTCATGCAATGTTCTTTCCAAGGAAGTGGCTCTGAAAGCATCCTGGGGCTCCTGCCCCACCGCGAGCCAGCGGGACTCACCTGTCCTCAGGTGTGTGTCCGGGAACACGTTCCGAGGAAGGGACAGATGATCTTAACAGTGTCATCACAACACAGTGTGACCACTGCTGTCTTTGCTGGTGTGAGAGTGCTCAGTTCTGTGCTGACTGAATGTACACGTTGGCCTGCACTGAGCGGCATCGCTAACGTGGGCTGTGGTCCTGATCGCGCGCAGGGCTTTGTGTGTGAGCCCACACTGGCCTGGCAGTAATGTCTGTCTGGCTATTCAGCTCTCTCAGGAGCATGGGTCTCTGTGTTTTGAAGGCAACTCTAGAGTATTTTCTTTCTAAATAACATACCCTGTTCTTTCTCAGGGGCCTGTGTTGTGGAATGTTGTTGTGGGCCAGTCTTTGCCAGATGGACGCTGGGTAGTGTGTGTTGGAGCTGTCTTTCCCCTCCTATTCACATGGCTTGATTTTAGAATGGTCTTTTTGGAACCTCATCTTGGCAAGGAGGAGATGGTAATTGACCCAAACCAGGCTCTTTCACTCAGATTTTTTAGCTCATGGCCTCAGTGCTGCACACAGCTGACCATGTTTTGAATAGAACAACAGATTGCTTGTCTGACTCTACCCTTACCAGCTTTGCCCTCATGTTTTTAACCCTGAGTTTAGACTTTTAAGTACTAAGGGTTACTTTCTTTTCTGCCTCTGAAAAACCGGTGTTTTATAGTCTTAAGCAGTCACACATCTCCTGTGTCAGACAGAACCCTGCTCGTCCACGCCCAGGCACACCCCGACAGAGCAGTGACTCTGCGCTCACACTGTCCCGGCAGAGATGAAGATGCCCCCTCTCTGAGGTCCAGGCTCAGTTTGAAAGTACTCGGGGATATTAAGAGCAGGCACAGAGTTCTTGCCACCCTAGAGCCCTGATGACCGCAGGTGACAGTCACCCTTTGGCCATCAAGCCTGGTCACTGTCACCCAGCACGCTCTCCTCCAGCTGCCTGTCCAGTCCGACTCCGCTGGCTCTTTCCTGGCTTGAAGTTCTTGTCCATTCTTAGACTTGCTTCTCCGTCTTCCCTCCAGGGCTTGACCTGGTGTTCTTGATTCTGATTGTGCTCTCTGCTGTAGACACGCTGCTCCAGGGGTGCACGCCGAAGGTGCTGGAGTCACTTGCTTATGTGTGTCTCCCACTGCGACCATAAATTCCTCGAAAATAACGTCTTCTTTATTGTTGTGCTCTGTAGGCTTTGTGCAGTATCACAATACAGAGTGTGCTCGCTGTAGACTTGAATGGTTGCCGGGGGTTCCGCACGGTGTCCTCATGGATGGCAGCCATTGCCCAGCTGTATTTTACCAAAACCTGCCACTCACTAACTTCTATCCATCTACTTGTCCTCCTTCTGTTTTCTGGAGCAATTAATTATCATCCATGATTCATAAATTCAAAGTACACAGAATTGTCCTAATTTACAGCTCCTAAGCATAGTTAGGTATCTTGGAATTCCCATAGAGACCCAGAATGTTTAGCTTGGGACGTTCAGAATGTCCTAAACTGAAATCGTTGTCACTGCCAGCTCCTACGCCCCCTACTCCATGCAAATGCACCATCTGAGTGGCGTGTTGTAACCAGACAGTTGAGTGAGAAACCTGGAAATCAACCCTGTCTCTATTCGTCCCTACTGCCCCCATCCTGCTAATGGCCAAGTCCTGCCGAGTCTGCATCTCGGATGGATCTGGGGTGCTTGGTGCCTCGCACATGTGAGTTTGTTCTCAGATCTCTCGTGACGAGACTTGCACTAATTTTTAAGACTCGTCTTCTTATCTCCAGTCTTCAGTTTCTTTCCAAACTGTTGCTTTGTCTTTCCAAAACGCAAATCTGAATTATTTGAAACCTCAGGATAAAGCTGCTCTGCAGAGATCTGGCCTTTCCCCTTACTTCACCCTGTCCACGTTTTTCTGTCTCTTCCATGAGAATATCAGAAGATTCTCTGCACAATGTTTGGTGGAAATTAAAAAAGAAATCAGCTTTGTGGTTAACTTGCTAGATATTATCTTTACTTAAGCTTTCTGGTTAGCATTATTTAATTGAAAAAGAAGGGTAAATTGGAGGAGAAGTGTGTGCTTTTTGCTGCCCCTTGTAGTTTACCATGGGCTTTGGAACCATCAGGCCCATTCTGAGATGTTGTGACTCCATGATTTTCAAGGCAGAATTTGGACTTTCAAAAACCATTTGAAATATGGACTTCAAGCTGGTGATGGGGCTGTGTGATAGGTCTGGAGGGAGCAGTCACACTCCTCCCCTGCATTGTGGTTGTCACACCTGCTCTGCGTAGAGGGGTGACACTGTTCCAAGGTCACACCTTGCGCTCCAAGCCCGTTTGCTGAGCACGATGTTTTGGAGGATTCATATCC